TTAATTTAAAATCAATGACAGATCAAATAGTAAAGGCATTCAGTCACAGAAATTCTGATGATGAAGCAGTTAAAGCAGTAAATTGTTTAGTCACTACTCTAAAGACGCATGATGTTTTAGGTATGATGGATGAATTTGATAATACACTGCAGCATTTACCCAATTTTGTTCTTTGGAGGTCATACATGAAGATGGTTGAAACATTGCTAGACTTTATCCGGGCTAATCGGGAGGGTAACTGGGCCCTTCACTTAGATTCATTTTCAGCAATGCTTCCATGGATGACAATCTATGACCATACAAATTATGCTAGGTGGGGTGCTGTTTACTTGTGTGAAATGAAAAACTTACAAAACACACATACACTAGTTTATGAGGAGTTTCTGAATGGAAACTTTGTAGTTAAGAGGAGTCAACTAAAATTTAATCAGATACCTCTCGACCAAGCTACTGAATGGCAGAACAAAATCTGCAAAATATCAAATGGCATTATAGGAATAACTAGGAATGATACTGCTAGGGACAAGTTCTGCATAACATGGGCAGAACGTTCATATATTTCTCACTCTACTAGAGTGTTATTTGGTGTAGATGATGATGCAAATGATACAATTTCTACCAGGAAGGACGCACAGCCAGGCAGAGTGAGTGTTGATGAAAATGCAGTCAGTGACTTGAAAGAACTCTTTTTAAGATTTAATGTATTTAAGATAAATACATTTGATCCTCTTGATGGCTACGTTGCCCTTGAAGAAATTGCTGAAAATGTAGAAAATGAGGGGGAAAGGATGGATGTAGATATGCATCAGTTAACTTCTCTGGCAACCAATGATGTTGCAACTGGTGATATACAACATGATATGTTGACAGCACAGCAACGAGGGCAACAGATGGTACTAGAGAACATAGGTAAATGGCTGTTAAGGAAGGATATGCCTTTTTTTGATCCAACAAAAAAAACAAATCAAAAACATTTGCCACATTGTATGCTTCCTCTATTAGCATACAGAATGAGAAAAAAGTTATTAAGGCTGATAGGAAATTATTACAACGTCTTCTAACAGTATCCCTAGCAGGTCGTAACATTGATATGCATGATATTCTTAAACATGAGCTTTCTAATGTTCCTCTTTCTCTAGCAAAGGTAAATGGCACTCTTAACTCAACAACTAAGTCAGATTTGGTTAACATTTTGATGGATGGGGAAACAATCCCTCACACAATTCCTGCACCAACCATGCATCAAAACACTTGTGTTTTAATAGATGGTCATGCTTTAGTTCAAGCTCTTGGAAAACCTCAAACCTGTAGGACCTTTGATGACTATGCCAGAGTCTTTTTTCGAGCTGTCACGGCACATATTGATGAACATGTTAGACGAGTAGATGTTGTCTTTGACACCTACGTAAAACAATCAATTAAATCAGCCACTCGAGCTAAAAGAGGCATAAAAAAGAGACCAGTTCGTAAAATTATTAACCGTGGTGATTTAAGTCTTCCTCAGGTGTGGGCAAATTTTGTAGCATTAAGTGATAATAAAGCAGATCTTGCTAGGTTCCTTACTGAATACATTATGAGCCATGGGATGGAATTTAGTCACCAGTATGAGTTGGTAACAAGTGGTGGGTATGTGGATTCAACTAAGGCATGCTCAACACAAAGAGGTGAGGTTCCTAACTTATTTAACAATCATGAGGAAGCAGATACCCGACTTATTCTGCATGTACATGACGCGATTGCTAATAATTTTAACAGAATCATAGTGTTGTGTAGAGATACCGATGTTCTTTTGCTATTAATTCATTTTTTTGGAAAAAATGAAGAAATTGAAACTTGGATGGATGGTTGGTGGCAATGCAAAGCTAAAAAGTGCTTTCCCGTAAATAGTATTACAGATAAGCTATCTGAGGGAGTAATTCAGAATATATTAGGCTTTCACGCATTCACTGGATGTGATACAACTTCTTCGTTTAGTGGTTACGGGAAAAAGAAATGCTGGAAGGTTTTTGAAGAGCACCCTCACTTGCTCTATGGCATTGGAAGGGATTGCTTTGTTCAGGATGTAGAAGAATTTGTTTGCAGGTTGTATTGTGCACCAGATCCGCTAGCTGGGGTAAACCAATGCAGAGTAGATCTTTTTCAGAGAGGTAACAAAGAGCTTGAGAAATTGCCACCAACTAAAAATTCTTTAGGCCTGCATATAACAAGATGCAATTTTCAGGCAAATGTCTGGTTACAAGCCACTGTTAAGTTTCAGGAACTCCCTCTACCAGTTGTGACTGGAAATTGGAAGGCATCTGATTCTTTAGACAATCTGGAAATTGTCTGGACAACTCTTCCAAGCATACCAACATGTTGTCTTTCCCTTATCTCTTGTGGTTGCAAAACAAAATGCAAAACTGGAGCATGTAAATGCTACAAAAGCCAACAGCAATGTACACCGATTTGTATCTGTAATGTGAAAGACTGTCACAATCCAATTGGGCTACCAGAAAGTTAATTTCTTAAAATTTTCCACTAAATAATTATTCTAATGTATAACAATGAAAGAACTTTATACATGAGATATTGTTTTTGTACCTACTTAATTTGTTGTATAGTTTGCCATTCTTTTAGACATCAAAGTCATGATGAAGAGTTATCTTGATGAATGAGGATTTCATGTGAAGAGCATGTGTTACAAATGATATAGACTTAAACATGAACTTAATATATTATTAATAAAAGTTATATAATTTTATAGTCAATGGGCTACCATCCTATAGACTATAGTTGGTTATCAAAGCATGACATTTTTGTTTCAATGGAAGCACACTCAAATGCCATTTAGTAAAGTTTTAATCCTTACACATTTGTTCGATGATTTTCAATGAGTTATATTTGTCCACATGCATGGACCTGGCTAGTGAAACTGACAATTGAAAAGCTGATTATATTTTTTTATTAAAGGACTATATGTTTATTAGATTGGCATTTCTGGAAAATAGTTTTGTCTACTATGTATAAGAAATGATACAGATTAAACAGAAGAAACCATGCAAGTGATAATCTCTAAATTAAAGAAATCTAATGGACGACCAATACCAATGTATTCGAATCAGAATTATTGTCTCAGAAAGCAACCATAAATCAAGATGGTATTGAGCAACTCAAGACAGCCCTTTACAATGTACTGGCCACCAAATGAAATACTCTGATACAGTGAATTAACAGTTGAATCAGATCATTGTTACAGAACTCAACCAATGGAAAAAATATGGTTATATAGCAACTAAAAAGACATGAAACTATGAAACGACCACCAGATGGACAGACAAATCTATTGTAATGAAGTATTAAACTCTGGTACAGCAAATGGACAAGGAAAGATGTTAAACTTGTCGATCTACAATGACTTGTAAAGAAAGATAAAGCGCTTGGTTGTGCATCAAATATAAATATAAACTTCCAAAATAATATGGACATGAACTGAATAGTCTGAAATTATTTCGCCATACGTGTAGCAAAACAACATGCACTCAGAAAATCATCTTAAAAAGCCACTGCAAACACAGAATTTTAAAAAAATTAACTGTATATTAGCTATATCAATTGTCAGTTTATCCTTGTTCCAAATACTTGAAGTTTATACCAAATTATAGACCACGCATAAAGCATACAGTATAAGCATGAACGAAATTAAATATAAGCAAGAGTCTTTTATTCAATTCGAATATTTCAACTTTTATGTATTATTCAAAATTGTATTTCAATACTTAATTCATTCTATATTGTCGTTGCAATTCAATAATTGTGTTTAAGCCAACAGAGCTAAACTAGTCTACGAATTTATATTGTCTACCTTTGATAAAGTACATAGACTAATATGGATGAAGCCCATTTTCGTCGTCTATCGATCAAGTTTTATCAAACAGTGTTCTGTCGGATTGAACAGCGAATTATAGCAATAAAAATTCATTATTTTATAAACAGACAGTAATACATGATAAGTAATGTTATTATAAAGTAATATTACAGTAACTTACCTTATTTCTGTAGTCTTGTGTTACTTTTAACAGCAAAAATATACAATGTTCATCTTGTTCATCAATAGTTTTTATTTGTTTACCTTCGAGGCATGACATTTTGTTAGCGCTGATTGGTTAAAAGAAACTAATCAGAACGTAGGTGACCAATCACAATTTAGAACTTGTTGCGTAGCAACAAAGAAGTGCATTTCACAATGGCGAACAATGTATTTGATGGCCACGAACTGGCAGTTGAAAGCCTTCGAATATCTCCGTTAAAACTCTGAATCAAAGGTGCCAACAAGCAAAATATTAAAGATTGTGTCTATTGGAAATTATCTAGCATTGTTGGCTGCTTGTAACAGAAAATGCCATCACCGATAACAATTTCGCAAGTTGGCCGGCCGTCTATTATTGAAAGAATTGTCACTTATTTGATAATTCATACAAAGCCTACAAAATACAAGCCAAAATGCACCGGTATTTATACTACAAAAAGGTCTATAATAACCGAATTAACGAAACCGTTTCAAAGTTTATTTAAATTTACTGCCATTTTTTTCGCCCCATAAGTGCATGTATATTGAACCGGGGGTGATTCGCATTTCTTTTAGTTGACAAAACGTTCCATATTAATATTTGACTAATTTAAGTTTGAATTTCGCAATATTTTTTAAAATTTGTTATTGTCATTCAAATTATTAACCGTTAATTCGATTAAAAGGTCATGGAAGATGATAGGTCAATTTTCCTTCAACTTCCGTTCTACTTCCGGTTACAATTTACTTCCGTCACCAGTTGTTGCGGTGCACATTGAACGAAAGATTTTCGGCGTTTCATCCCTTTCTTATTTATGTACGGGTTACACCCTCGGCATCCTTTCGTAAGATGTTCGGAAATTGTCGTTGAAATGCAATATGTTTGAATTACATGAAGTAGGAGGCATGATATTATCGAAAAAATAAAAATCAGCTAATTTTGATCCTTTTATGATTATGTCTGCGGGTTGTTGTAATATAAATATGGGATATTGGTTGATGACAAGGTATTTATAAAACACAATCGTACTTTTCTGCCCCCTGTGCACACGTATCGAACTCTCAAAGACTGAGACATTTTGGTCGAGACTTGTTTTTTGCTAGTTTTTTCTCGTTGAAAAAAGTGAATTATGCTCTTACCTGAACATTATACGATACGAAATATACTGGAATGTCAATTCTGAACAACTTCTGAGCTTTCCTGCCGCAAAAACGACATAACTGGAGTATACAACATCGTGTAGAACAACTTTTTGATGTCTTTTTGACTTGTCAACACAAGTTTCGAACTTCACTCCTTCGAGTATAATTTTCCCTTTTCGCAGCGTTCAAGTAGTGTTTGTAGCCCCATTTGTTGTTAAAAATGTCCAGTCTAACCCATTTTCTTGAAATTAAAACGAAACAGCAAATCACCTGGATAGTTTCGTTAAAATCGCTGTTTTTATGACAAAAATTCGGATTTCCCCATCTATTTCCTTATAAAAAAATTCACGGTACTGGCTGGGAGGTTACGCATGCGCAGTATGGCCGATCGTGCGTGTGACTGGTTTTGGCTTGAGTCAGTGTGACCAGATTTGGTAAAAAGTTTTACTTTTGGTATAATTTCGTGAATTTTCAAGAAAATTTGGTAATGAGTTTCTTTTGGTAAAATTTTGGTAAAATCTGAAAGGTTTGAATTATTAAAAATAGTTGGTAAAAATGTGTGTTTTTTGTTTAATAACGTGCTCAAAGTGATGAACAGAACTGCCAAGCCTAAGAAATAAAGCCTTATCATTAGCAAAAACTGCAATACGATGAAAGCAACAAGTATTTCGAGACACTTTTTGTGAATATTTTTTCTACTTTGATGACGTAACTATTGTTTTTTGGCATTATCATGATGTAATTATTTGGGAAGCCGACATTTGGTAAAAATTTTCTTAATTTAGTAAAATTTGAACAAAATTTTGGTAATGACTGCTGAAAAATTCTGGTCACACTGGCTTGAGTGAACCCTCTGTATATACTTCCTCTGTGATTCGGATAAATTTCTTGCAAATATATTTCATTTTTGCTCGCATTTTTGCAAGGTTTTGTAAATTTCAAGAAAGAAATGGCGAAAGAATCGGCTAAAAGAAGGGAGCCCACGTTAACGAAGGTAAGTTTGTTTTAAATATTGATTTTATAATTGCTTTAAAACCCGACGGCCTTTGCGTATTTGAAACGACTAAACAAGACAGCATATCGGGCCTAATTTCAGTGTATCTTTAATATTGATTCCCTTTTTTATTATATTGAATTTTTTTAAATAAAAAAGAAAGCAAAGTTATTTGCATGCGAGAATTTGAAATCATTTTATTGCAAACTCAAAGTTTATCGATAAAGCCATTTACTTAAAGAATATAAAAGGCAGTTTAGTTTTGTAAAGAACACTTTAAAACGTTTTGCGAAGCGTTTATGGTTGAATTTTACCTTAAATTGAAGCTTATATTACGTATAATATCATACCTAACATATATATGTTGGGAAATTGATAATTTTGTAATTAAAAGTGATATTTTTAAGCGATTTTTCATTTGTAAGAATATTCTTAAGAAATTATCGTGTTACCATGACAACTACTTTAGATACTTCATGTTCGGAAAATACAATGGTTTTGTCAGCAAGGCGAGGGTTTCTGCATGCATGTATTTTCTAGTAATAATAATGTATAGTTATTTATACTCCCTTCAACCATGATTTCAGAGCAATTTTGCTGGGACACTGCCATAGTTCATTCTGTGAGAAAGCCAAATGTCTCAATCAATGGTCATCTCCATGACAAACGCTCTCCTTACCATATGAAGATAATCTCCTGCATATCCTTATTCACTTATAAATTGAGCCGCCGAAGGCCATAATAAATGAGAAGAGATATGGAAGAATTTCATCTTGAAATCGAGCAACGGGAAGAGGACTCGGCACGAAAATACCGCGTACTTGAGGGTATGGTGGAAAGAACCTGTGAATAAGGAAGGTTTCAGTAAGTCTTATAAAAAAGCAGATGGCACAGGAAGCAAGAAAATATAACCTCTGCATGTCGTTTGCCTCCAAGACTACTATATATAGTGTGAACATTGTCCTTTGATAACTGCCTGATGACCACCATCAATAGTGCTTTGTGAAACCTATACCTACATATTTAAAATTTGTACTCTTAGAAACGAAAGAGTCCAATGTATTGTGCCATTGAAGTGTTTCTCGGCGGTAGTAAAGCTGCTAAAGAAGATGTTCGCTCGAAACATGTTTTGTAATCGTCTTCAAATGTAGTTTCCGCCTAAACTAGGAGAAAGTCTAGGATTTGTCCTGTTTAAAGTTATCTTGGATATATTTTTGTTTAGGAAAACCAAAAGCAACACGAATGTGATATTAAGAGCCTAAAACAGAGGGAAAAGGAAAGTAAATTCACTATACATGCATGAGCGCGAGGAGACCAT